AACATTTGAAATATGTTCCAATTATTTATTCTATTCTATGTAGAATTTGTAAAATATCAGTCTCCTCATAGTCTATTCTTAGAAGATAATTATCGTTCAATATAAATTCAAATTGAACTTGAAATATTCACTGTTAAATAACAACATTCAAATAATATATCTATTCAATAATAATATCGATTTCTATACGTTTTCTTTTTTTATTGAAGAACAATTATTATATTTAAACAATTTCTCTTATCAATATATTCATACCTATGATTTAAAAATATCATTAATAGATTAGAATCTATATCAATCTCTAATACTTGGAAAAATAATAAAAATATATAATAAATTCTATATAGATTGAATTCTACGTCAATTTCTAAATATGAATTAGTTTTATTTTAACTTGAAAGTGAGCCATATTATTTCAATAAAATATCCCTATATTATTTATAAATCGATCGATTAAACAATGTTATATATCGATCTAGATTAACATAGAATTGAGATATAAATATTAATCGTTTTTTATTTCTTTTTATGCATTTGAGATAAATTATTTAAATATTGACCGTATTTTATTATAATTAAATAAATCAAATAGTTGAAAAAGAAAATAATCATATGTGCTCTTATAGGAACTGTTTAATAAGAATATTCTATTGAATAATCTACTCAAATATTGATTATTTTATATTTATATTTTGATGCGATTTAATATTATTCTAGTGAGTAAATCAAAGTAGAAATTGATTAACTAATCGTTTTTATTGAATCTATTTTCTAAAAGATTCTCAAAATTGTTTCATTTCTAATTTGACTTTGATGATAGTTATTAATTCTATAGAATCAACTTCGATTTATCTTATTCAATGCATTAGTTTTGGTTTTATCCTACGATCAATATCTTCTTTCTATTTGCATTTTCTCTTTTAAAAATATCAATAGTTACATCTACGATAAATATTTATTTCTAATAGTTAAATAATAACATATCAATGAAGAAAAAAAACTAAATTATTTTAGATGAAAATCGTTTATTTCTACTTGATCTTTATCAAAAATCTAATCTACTTAAATTGTAAAAAGCGATCAATGAATTGATGAGAATATAAATTCTAATGAAAAAAACCTATTTGATTTATTCGAGTTAACAAATATTAAAGAGCGATTGTTAATTAAAGCAAGGATTCGTCAATGAATGAAATAAACGAAAGAGTATACCATCTTCTATTTCTACATAATCAACTTTTCTTCCTCAACAATAGAATTCCATCAAATTGTTAAACGGAAATAAAAAAAAACCTTTTCCACTTATTCGTCAATCATCTCAACAGATGAAAAAAATCTTTGGAATATAGGAACAAATCATTGAATTAATGTGAAAATTGAACTTATTTCTTCATCAAGCGAAATAAAAAAAATTGTTGAAAATATATTCTCGAAGGGTTTAACTTCTTTCACTTTTTCAATTTATTCCTAAATAACTCAGTCATTCTATATTCTATTTGTTTTTAATAGAACGCTTACTTTATCGAGATCATAGTTAACGTTTTTACGGCGAAAAGATCTTTTCTATAGTTGAACATCTCAATTATGAAATTTCCTAATGTCTCTTGTTTTTCCATAAAAATCCTCTGAAATTCATATAAAATTTTCAGAACCTCTTCATGAATTCATCGTTTATTTCACTTTTCTGATAGACAGAAAAAAAAAATATTCGAAACAATATTCTCGAATATAAATTCGATAAAAACAACTCAACAAACACGGACGAAAGACTAAAAAGAAAACTAAACGTATAGAATAAGGTCATAGTAGAAATAATCTATCAATTATGACATTTTTCAGACAAATTCATTGATTACACAAGCAATAGAAAACAATAAGTAGAAAAACGGATGATTATAATAAAATATAATATTTTTATGATAAATAGGAATTTTTTCAATAATTAACCTTCGGACAAAAAACGTTATCTTTATTATCCTTTTATATCTCGTTATGAATCAACATTAAAAATACTTTATAGAGTTGAAAAAGAAAAAGCAAACAAAATAAAAGATGTTTTTATTAGATTTATTCATTGAAGAATATATTAGATAATGACATCGATATTCACACTATCTTTTATTCCTCAATCAATTTTTTTCTCGTCCTATTCAAACATAGTAACATTCATTCAACGGATTCATTGACCCTTTTATCAAACAAAACTTAGAAAACGTTCTGGAGAACTTCTCAAAATAAAATATATTCACGTTTTAGTTTATGGATTATCTATTCTTATCAATCTATTCAATTTTTTCAATCAACATAACTCATATTATCATCATCATTTTTATTCGACATTTTTTACCCATCAATGTTGGTGTGCACAACGATGCCCTTTGTATTTTATTATAACATGTTGACAAAGTACTTTAGATAATGGAACAGTGGTCGAGGGTGTTTAAGGTGCCCTAGGGACTCATTGTGAAATCCGGTATAGGTGGCGAACAGGTGCTGTAGGTGTCTACACTTTCCCCCTTCATTTTAACAAATCGATCAACTAATATAAGAGTATAAAGGTGAACGAATGATTTTCTGAGAATAAAATATCATTTTTTATATTTATGTTAAATGTGAATGAAAGATCTCTTTATATCCAACCTATAGAATCTCGAAATCGAATTCTCTCCTAATCTTCATTTCTAGTAAATCCATCGATTATTTCGATTATCATTCTTGTAAATATTTTTTCACTGTGTCCTCGAAAACTATGAAGTCAATTGTTTTGTTCTTATAAAGTTGATATGATCTCATAATTTACAATAGTCCTTTTTAGAATATCGTTGGTTAACTTACTGAACATGATAATAGATTTGTAGAAAAGCTGATTCTAATGATAACAAATAGAGCGTTTAGATTCAAACCAAGTATATTATTGAATTGTGAACTTTTTGTTTTTTTGTTTCTCTTATATTCTTCATATTTAAACCGAGGACAAAAAAATGTTTTTTAAAATCTTATATTTGATTTATGTCAATGACCTTTTAGGTATTTCTCATCGTCTTGTTTTTCCTATAACACAAACTCTAATGCCCTTCTCAGACATAAACAGAAACGGTTGGTTTAACTGAAACAAAAATCTACAAGGGCAACATCCAACTATATGTAGTTTTTTCAACAAGCATATTTTTAAAAAAATCTGATAAGGACTTGTTATCTATATGAATGTTTGACTTTAATCTCGAATGTTCGATAGATACGTCAAAACTCACTAAAATTTCTTATGATTTTGCTCATGTTAATGTGTGAATAGCCGCATGGTATTCTTGATGAATAGATCTAAAGTATTCCTATCGAAATATATTTGACACATTTTTCCAATAGAATTATTTTTAAAAGGATTTCATCATCCCTTATTTTCCTTCATACGGGTTTCTTCTTTCCTTAAAGACGTCCACCGCCAAAAAAATTTTCAAGTAGACGATAACTATCCTTTGGAAAAACAAATAATCCAACCATAAAAACTAAACTCTATTCTTATTTTAATAAAATATTCTGATTGACTATTTATAGATCAACGTCAACCGAAAACAAAATGATAATAAATAGAAAAAAAAAACTATCATTCAAATTGTCAAATTAGAAAGTGAAAAATAAAACTAGAGAATGAGAAGGAGAACAGCCATGATTATTTTCTCATACTATCTCTATCTTGTGCATTTCTAATAGATCTCGACTTAATTCATTTCGTTCCCATACATTAGTTTTAATTTATCTATTTATTTTAAGCAAAATACATAACAAAAAAACGTTAGATTTTATTAGTTTGATTACTTCACTAATTAACTACATTAACATTTCTATAGACGATTCGATTGACTAAAAAAAAACGCGTCATATAAACAATTCTCATAAAACTGTTTATCTTTTATTTAAAAAGTATTATTAATAAAAGTAGGAGCCAATAATGGTTATATATTGAGTAAAGTTTGCCCGCGGAAACAGTATACTCGAAAAAAATGAATTTTAAGAAAAACAAAAAATAACTTTTTAAAAACCTTATTTTTCTAAATATGGAGGTTCAGCAAAAGCTATGTGATATCCTTAAAGCTCATCATAAAATCAATCGACTATAATGGATTCGAAAGTAGACACTTTCATCTATCTAACTAACTATAAATCACAAAATTTTTATAATTTTACAAAAATGGACTTTGTCTCAGGGGCCTCCCTGAGAATGCATTATAAGGGCTAGATCAACTAATCAGTGATGGGCAGCTTCAGTCTTTCCTCGTTCCAGCTCACCTCTAGCTCGAAACATTTTCTAGCCGCTCCGCTCGAACAGAAATAAAAAGTCATTATTTCATTAGAATACTTTGCTTTTTTTGGCTCCTTTCCAGATCACTTTTTGTATTCATTAATAACACTCAATTTTCGTAGTAATAGATGCAAATGGAAGAGGAAAAAGCACAGCTCTTAATATTTGTGACATTTTCTCGCTCCTGTTCAACTCCAGCTCCAGACATCCACTTAGTCGCTCCACTCTGACTTCGCTCCGAAGTCGGAGATTTGACTCGACTGAAAAACTAATTACTGTTAAAATCTTTTTATTATTTATTTTATTAAACTAGTCGAGCGAAAACGAAGTTACAAGAGGAAAGTAAACATAAAAATCTTTTGAATGCACTAATGTTCGTTCAATGATTAATTCTTTCACGTTAGCACAATTGCGCCGTGTTTCATTTCTTGTAAAGTTTTTTGTTAGAATTGTTAATTTATCATAATTGACAGTTAATGTAGTTAGACGAGGTAGATGTGTTTTTCTATCATTAAGAAACTGATCATAATAATCAATATGCGATCTTCCAAGACAAACCGAAATAAGATAAGGATATTCAACAATTGAGTGCAATTGATTATCGTTCGAGTTAATATTGTCTGATATTTGTGACTGTGATTTAAAATTAATAACATATAATTGTTTAATCAATGGAAAAAAGTGAGCTATTCGAAGAAAAAATTCATGTTTCAATGGAACTACATCGTGGACCCCTAAATTTGTAACATGAATAAAAATAATAGACGGAAATGCGTTGCCAATATACCTAAGACTATCAAACAGAAATGGTAATGAAAAAACATGACATCTTACACTATCAGAATAACAGCTTAGAATAGAAGCCACTTGATCATATCCAATATTAGTAAAAGTTTGTTGAATATCATCGCTAGATAAATAAGGAACTAAATGATCTAGTTGAATTTCAGTACTAATATAAAATATAAATTTATAAAGTTGTGGCATATGAATAAGTATTTGATTATTAATCTCTGTACCATCGAGAAATTTAATTCGATTTTGAATCGTAAGATACAAAGTTAATTCTTCAAGATTTGACATACGACGAAGAAGAGATAATATTTTACTATCATATTCTTCTGTTACACAAACATATTTTAATGAAAAATATTTTAAATTAGGTAGATCATTCTAGAAAATAGAATGAAATATTTCAAAATATATTTTATTATCGATTATAAAACAAGAAAAATTTCAGACGAATTTATTTTGAAATATTAGTTCAACTCAATCATATTCTGACAATACGATCTGAAAGGAATGTTGAACTCTATAAGGATTGATATTTACACCCTCTTCCACAGATTCCACGACATACGAGTTTCAGAGATGATCAGAGACGATGGCATATCTATTCATATACAAATGTCAATTGAATTGAACAGTCTTTGTGTGATTATCAACCATAACTATATCGTGTGTTAACATTTTAATCTGCTAAGGATTGTGCTAATAGCTTTAGATTTCTATATAAACATTCTACTGCAATAATCAATAAGATGATTAAATCGAACTTGAGAAACTTTTATAAGAATTTATATTTTTCATTTTTCTCGTCTTCCTAAAGCTGGAGAGAAATGAGATTTTTTCCAAAAAAATTTCTGCGTTCAATTCATCATAAAACGGCATGTTTCAATCAGCAAGTGTGGTCTAGCCTATTTTTCGACAATTAATATCACCATTTAGGACCACCATTAAAACTTCTTCAAATTTCGCTTTTATCTAAACCATTTTACAAACAGTTTTATGCTCTCTATCATCTTCAATTTTGTTTTAATTATTCCCAACCTCAATAGATATAACATTTCAAGTCAGTTAACTCAGTCAATATACTACTACCATATCAGAACAATGACACACATTATCAGACAGTTCACAAAGATTAGTAGCGCAGCACATTGGTGGCTAAAACGTGGAACTCACATACGAACTTTAGCCTAATTCTACCAATACGCATAATAGATAAAGTGCAAAACCTGTCGCACATAGATGTCTGCAAAGGAACGGACGTCAAGAGTGGCAAAACACTCAACGTTAAACTTATGCTCACTATTTTCTTCGAAAATGGAGATCAGTTCCACAATAACCCATAAAATAATTTAGATAAAACAAACATTTTAACAAGTTGTGATGATTGTTTCAAATGCTGGTACCGACAGTTAAAAAAAATCATCAGAATCGCACTTGTTACTCGCATGTATGCACTCTGAGAAAGACGAGAAAACTGAAAAAAATCGAAAGTGTGCTATTATTTCTAACGTATTCATTATGTTATTATTATAAAAGAACATAAATGACTAAAATCGACTAATAGAAGCGAAAAAAATCAGTCACTATTCATAACTATGATGGAAAACGTTTGATATTTTATCCAGTTTTCTGATAATTATATATATCGTTTAAAATATCTTAAGATTATACTTTAAACAATCATTTTAGATATATTAGAAATTCTGGTATGGATATATTTAATACTCATAAACAAATCAACAGTTTGTTCATTAATATGAACATTCAATGATTCGATTTATTTATTCAAATAAACTTCTATGTGAAAATATGAGATAGAAAATATCCTATATTTTCTCATAAAATAGATCATAAAGATTTTATCAATATTTAATAAATAGTAATTGATATGAAAATAATCTATTATAAAATAAAAGTATTTCAAAATATTTATTAATTTGAAAAACTAATTAATATAATTCTATATTAACTTACCATATTGTTAACAATTGATAATTGATTGTTATCATCAAAAATTTCAACAAAAAACGAATTCAATTGATTGAGACGACCATCAAGTGAAGCAAGACAATCTTCAAAACGATTTACACTAATAGATTATTTGGAAAGAGTTGAACAAGAACAGGTTGTCAAAGGTAAATTACGAAATGATAAACGCACACATGATCCAGTAAAAGACAAATGATTTAGATTTTCGCAGAAGTTAAATATATATTTGTGCACATTTTCTGTGTATTGTTCCAGTGATAAAATATTATTATCTGTTTTGCATACAAGAATTAGATCTCGAATTTGTTTTTGAAAAATATGATGAACTCGTGATTTGACTAAATAAAAAAAAAAGCAATTAGATACTGTGCAGGATATAGAATGTATCTATCGAAATTAATCTTCACATCAGTACAGAACCTTTTTTTACCTGTAAAATAATGTGAAGCGATTTTGTTATTCAAATTGAAGAGTTTAAGTTGATATAGATTAGGATAATCGGTAACAAGAAGAATACGTTCCATAGATCCTGATTCAAGAATAAGAGACTTTATATTGAGAGCAATTCTTGGCAATATTCAAATACAGAATCGATTAACTATAGAATCACCAATCGAATAAATATCATCAGTTGACATTCTTAATACAAACATTGAGATTGTTAGTAAACCTTTTATCTTCTACTATCATATCAAGTCGTTTATTATCAACATCCAATAATGAATAGAGAACATCGATATTGTTAAGTTTATTTAAAATTTTCAATAATATTTCATTGGGTAGATCAAGAAAACTAACATTTGACCGATTCATATTAATTGTTGACTAATCCTATGGTTAACACATGCAATGAACACATATATACATATATGTTCATTGTTTTGTTTTTCTCTATCCATTGGCGTCATTGAATAAAAAGAAAAAATATAGCGTCGATGAATAATCCAATGAATTCATAGATGAACATTTATGTTTCTTTTATCGCAATAGGTTACATGTACAATTTAAACTTGATATGAGCCCAGTTTTTTTTTTCATCAAGCTCTTTTCAAGTTTCATTTAACAATTTCTTCAAAATAATCATTACGAAGAAATGAACAAATTATCGGTGTTTTTAGTCTTTTAGATTTTTTTTCTATAAATCAAATCGAATATTTGTAGAATAGTTCTAATTAAAAATAAATTTTGTTATATAGAGATAATTATATATTTATTATCATTGTCATATATCTGACTATTAATGTTTCTGTTAATATTCATGCCATCAATAGAATATTCTTTTGTTTTTCTTTCTAGTGTTCCGGTGTTTTTGTATGAAAATTATTTTTGATAGGTTTTTCTTTTCTATTTTATCCATAATAGTCTTTGTCTTCGAACAAGGTGCTTTGAAAGAAAAGAAGATTAGTTTGATTGATTTAAAACATAGATCATTTTTGTTGTAACATATTACTAATCTCTTCACATATCATAACTTGGAATGTTATGCACTGTAAATGAAAAAAAATAATAATAATAATAGAAAAGCGATTATCTGATCTTAATCAATCTAGACTCTGCGACAATATTTTTGTTCGAATAAATTATTTGTCTTGTTTAGTGGGTGCAACTCGTCTATTTTTTCATCTCTTGTTTTTCAATTATATAAATCAGACTTGAATTTTTTCCAATTTATTTTCAATAACATTGAGAGTTAGATCTTATAATTATATATTTTATTGATAAATCATATTGAAGACCTGTCGATATATCAGTCATGAATTATAGGAGGCCACTAGAAACACGAACAACTTTGTTTCACACCTCATTTTCAACATAATCAATAGGAGATATTTTAACCCTATTTTTATAAATTAATTAACGTCTAGTGACGAGTGATTTACATTTGTGGTTAATATAAATGAAAAAGTATACCAACGATCATTACATAGAACGATACATTGGATAAAATATATATAATATCACTTGTATAAAAACAAGTAAATCAACTAAAAGACAAGTTGACTATTTAGATTGTTTTCTACACAGCTTAATTATCTATTGGCTTATGAAATTTGGTCGTACTTCGTCCCACAGAACAGAACTTTTATTTATCAAGACTCTATATGATCTTATATGAAATAAAAGATCACGTTAATATAATCATTTTTAATGAGGTGGGAGCAATTATTTTTCCACGAACTAACAAGTAGAGTATATCGACTGTCGATACATTGTTATCCTAGAGTGAGAGAATCGAAATAGCCTATATAGATATATCTAGATTTGAACAGGCTTTATGCACGGTACTAGGCAAATCTCTAAAATAATTCAATATATACTAGAGAAATATTTTGCAAAAGCAATTTTTTCATATAATACAACTTAATTGTTAGTTTTATAAGAAAAAAATCGATCTTTAATATGCCATTTATTCTTTTATAATATTCATGGAATTTATTTTCTATTTTAAATAATGAGTAAAGAGATTAACAGATTAGAATATTCGTACTCTAGAAACCTGCTATGAAAGAATTGTTGTAATCTGAATCTGCCTTCATTGTCAGACCAGGAGATATTATCTATATTCTACAAGACTCCATTTATAGAACATTAAAAAAAAAAAATTAGAGCAAAATTTTCTAACTTATTTCTATAGAAATTTGCTGTTGTCAATACTTATCTACATTGAATATAAATGAAGTTTTGAAAATAGAAATATTCTTATATTAAATTAAAACTTTCAATATAAAAAAATTTAACGAACTAGACATTTAAGAAAATGAGAGGGCATTACTCATTATCTGACATTTCTGAGCCAGCAAGGCAAACATATGGGATTTTTACCTATTCATCCTTTATCAATGACTCTTAGTGTGGGTGTTTTTGTTGTGTTATTCCTGTTGTTATGTAGCATAAAGTTTTACATATATCAAAACAAAGGTATGTAGAGAAACGTAACAAAAAAAAAATTCCATCAGATAAGGCAAACGTAGGTTTATATATATATGATGATTGTCAGTATAAAAGTGATCATTTAAAAATCAGGAAGGCGAAAAAAAGTTATTTAACAATGTATTTGTTTCATATTGGTATGATTAAATAGGAAATTTTTTATGTTTTTGTTTTATAGTCAATGTATTTTCATGTGAGTATACAGAACATTATAAAATATGTTTTCATAAGACGAATACATTATTTGACAACTTAGTTTTTCTTATTATGAAATATTATTTTTCAGATAAGATTCTCTTTTCTCTAATGGTTTATTGATCTTATCAAAAGAAAAACAAACCTTGCCGAGGAACTCGAACAAGATTCTATGATGAACTAACTTTTATCTTGTTAAATTAACATACTTTACTATGAACTTGTTCGGAAATAACCTTTTATGATTGTCTTGTTTTAGTTATCAAAATTTCATTTTAACATTATTGTTAAAATGATTGAGTGTAGGGAGTTGTAGATTCACGTTTTTGTAGACCCGATCTTTTTTCTATTAATACTTGCCATCCCCTGTGTACACGAACAAATGAATGATCAAGATTTTAACTATTTATTGACTACTAGCAGAGAAAAAAATTAACGTACAGTTATTTCTCTTTGTTTACTTTTCCCATCAGTTGATCTTTAATGAATTTAAACTTTCCACTCAGTTGAACGGATCATTATGTTAACAAAAATAAAAAAATGAAATTGAACAATTGATTGATAATCGAAAATCGGCAAGCCAACAGTAACACAAAAATCTTCATCTGTATGGAATAGTCTTTGTTGGATTTATCGAAACGAGATTGACTAACAAAGTATATTCGTAGTTGTCAAAATAAAAAAAAAAAACAATGTAAGAAAAGTTAGCAGCCAGTTCGAGATTTTTCAAAAATGATTCAATCCATTCAATGTGTCAGCTGCAGCTCGACGAGCTCTATCGAATGTTGTATGTTTCACTCTATTAAAAAATAAAACAAGCTTTTCCAAGACTCATGGAATATTGAAAATATATACCATGTCGATATTGACTCTGACGAGTTCCTCCGCTACGTGAATCACGTACGAGACAGAATCTAATCAACTCACGAGGGAAGATTCTCAAGTGTGACGCTCTGTTTCGAATTTGGCATTGACCATTGTTGTAGAGCACAGTAAGTACAGCACCTGATATAAAGGGGATGTCCTATAATGACTAGAGATAAATTGTTAATGATATTTTTCATAGTCTATATTAAGATAGAGAGCTGAAATTTTTATTACATATATATCTAATTAAAATCTTTTATTTCTGAAAGTTTCAGCTCTCTATCTCAAAATAGACTATGAAAAATATCATTAACAGTTTATCTCTAGTATTATAGGACATCCCTTGTGGTAACTCGTAGTTCCTTAAAAGTCTATTATGGGGACGAACCCTTTATATCAGGTACTGTACTCACTGTGCTCTACAAAATGGTCAATGCCAAATTCGAAACAGAGCGTCACACTTGGGGATCTTCCCTCATCAGCTGAACGATTTCAAAGAATACTTCCTTTTCCAGATTTGCTGGAATTTTTCGAGTAAGGTTTTAGATGTATATTTGCTATGACAGTTGTTTTCACGATTAGCGATACTGACGAAACCTGGATTAATCGATAGGACCCGTCTAGCTAGAGTGAATGAAGTATGTTTCATTAGTGGTTCAAGTTGTCGAGCGAATCGTCAGAACAAATACTATCTGAAAATCCGCTTTTAGCTGGTCCAGGGCTCTTGGCCAACGACAGTTTGCTTTCAATCGAATGAAACACATATGATTCGATAGAGCTCGGCGAGCTGCAGCTAGCTCACTGCATGCCTGCGTTATCTCAGCGCATGAGCCGAGCCGTTTTTGAAAATACTCGAATCGGCTGCGAACTTCCCTTATATAAAAAAAAAAAACGATAGTTTCCAATGTTCAAACAAGTATCAATCAGTTTGTACATCTTCTAAAAATGAACTATTTCAGATCGAGTTTAGCAGGAAATGAACGTTGTTTCTGTTGAATTTGCCGCAGTTGACTGTGACCATTCCAAACAATTAATTATATCGGTTTTAAAAATCTTACACAAAAGAAAAATGTGTTAATGTTGATAGATAGTTACTTATAGAGAGCTGTGGGTCCACGTTTTTCTAGATCGGACCCAAACCTGAGAATATTTTCAACTTTGCATCCAGATCCAGACTCGACACGAATCTGAGAAAAATTAAACTTCTGGATTGGGTCAGGTTCGGATATGGAAGAATCCGCAGCTCCCTAATGAAGTGTCATATGTTTGAGAAATTCTCTGTGCATGAACAAATAATTTCCGAATAATTCTTATTATCTAACCGATTTTGTTATTGTCGATATATAAGGAGAAGTGTTAATGAACTTTCTATGTAAGGTGTATTAAACAGTCAATATAAAATAAGTAATTGAATACAAAGAAATATAAATATAAAATGAAATTTCTCTGGTTAAAAGTCCAACCATAGAATTGTCTATATAGATTGGTCTCCTCACTTTTTCGGTTAATAGATATATAAAGTTACGATATGATAAAATATTCAATCAATCATTTATTATAGAGAAAGACAAAAACTTCTATATGTTGTATAGAAATTTTTTTATTTATTTCAATAAACTCATTATTTTATTTTATTTTATTTTACATATTCAGATAAATAATAGAGAATACAACAGTTATGTATGATCGACAATTAATTCAAATAAATTTACATGATAATCTAACATTACAGATTACATAACAATGTTTAGAACAGCAAAAGTCGAGAGAAAAACAAAATATGGAGAATAACACCAGCTTATTTCTATTGTTCTTGTTGACGTCAATCTTTTTTAAGAATGAATTAGGTTTTTTTACCATAAACATCTAACTATCAGGAACTAGAAAGTCACCGTAGTTCTCGTTCTCTTTGTTTTTGTGCATATTTTTGACTAGATCAGCTAGAAGAAATAGCATCGTAATAGATTAGATGCAAAGATAATCTTTACTTACCTCTTTCTTTGCGTAAAGTTTCTAGCTCTTTTTTCAGGCGGTCCATGTCTTCTTCGAACTTTTTTCTTTTATCATCATCAGTAGATTGATTCATTTTATTATTCAATTTTTTAATATCTTTTTCAACGACTTTTATCTAAAATGACGAATATGAGAATAAGATAGATCGTAGTAGAATAGCTTACTTCAGATTCCAAACTTTTCTATAAAGTAACATCGACGTGTTGCATCTTAGCCATATATAGAAATATTTTATCGAATTCGACTAGATAGAAACAATAAAATGAAATTATCTAACTTTTTCCTTCATCGTTTTCCTTTCATTCTCTGACGATAAATACGCCACGTTATTTACTATTCTATTTAAAATTTTATCTTACTTCCAGTAGGATCAGATAAATTCTTAATATCATCTTTGATTTTGTTAAAAGCCTCTGACATATTAGCTATTGGATTTATTTCATGTTTGTTTCTATCATAATCATCAATATCAATTCCAATTATTTGTAAATCTAAATGATTTTGTTTTATGTGGAAGACAATATCATCATATAGGACCATCACCATTTTAATAAAAAATTCTCTTATAACGGAATAAAATCATTGAATAATATTTTTGCAAAATTTCAATGTTCTTGAATTTTGTTTATCTAAACATTATTGTATAATATGTGATGATAGATTATCATGTAAATTAATTTGAATTTGTTGTCGACCTTATATAACTGTTGTATTTCCTATTAATTATCCGAATATGTAAAATATAATAAAATAAAATTAATATACAACATATCATGCAAATTTTATCTTCCTCTATGATCAATAATTGACTGAATATTTTATCATTTCAGTCAATAATAATTGACCGACATCAAAGTCTAAGATCGAGGTCAAGATAATCTGCATACACTTTGACGTACATACACGTTTTCTTCATTCCAATAAAATGACATAGAACCTCTCACATAAAAAAAAAGAGGGCGTTCGCAACAAGAACATATATGTACATTTTACATGCGCATATCAGAGAACGAATGTAAGCAAAATTTTTCGACTCTTTTATCATAAGTATAGGATGAATAAAGCCATTAAAAACAATATTAAATATGCCAAAAAAAAGTTTCATCTCATATAACTTGTTTTTGTGAATATGATTAGTAAAATGGTATCGGACTAAAGTCGGTATAGTTTATCAGGAAATACACCCGTGGGCAAAAGTCTTCCCCCCCCCCCCCCCGCCGTTATTTTTTCTTAGTTACATATTTAGTATTGAGTTTTTAGTCAGTCGAAAGAGTAAAATCAAGAGTTTATTTTGCATGGGATAGAACTGATCGTCATTCGGTTTATTTAAGGTTGCTAAATGAGTATTATAATGGTAGGAACTGTCACAGTCAGCTGCGAAGTTTTATTTGCACATCACATTTTGAGAATATTATTTAATATTCTTTACGTTTTATTTCCATTATTGACTAAACAATCTTGACTAATCACGGATATGTTCCCCTTAGTCCGATTGAAAATATTAAGTCAATAATAAAGGATGAAACCGCGAAAAATATTGAAAATATTCTTAAAATCCGATGCACAAATAAAACGTTCATAGATGATTGTGACTGTCGCTACCATTATAATACTCATTTAGCAACCTTGAATACGCCGAATGACAATCAATTCTATCCTATACAAACTTTTGCCCACGGGTGTACATATATTTAAACACTCTGACAATTATCATTAAATTAAAATTCTAATAGAATTAAATAGGGAATGAATTAATTATATTCAATTCTACGTTGTTCAACAACGTTGATCAACATCCTAACCACTCAACAGTATAACTATATTAACATTTCCTATTACTATTCGAATTTGTATAGTTAAATAAAACTGATTTTATTTTTTTATTTTATTATATATTTTCTCTAGTTAACTTGTTTTAAATATTATCAAGAGTTAGAGGCATTTTTTGAAATATTCTCAGAAAACATTTTTATTTAACATATATTTTTTTTGAAAATTTTTATTATACTGACAAGAAATAAATATCAATTATATATAAATAACTTACTTTTTTTTTTCATTCTATTTACACCACTTCTATATATAAGAGTAACTAGTTTTCATCAATGTTTAGTTTTCTTAGGGGAATTCTAGACGATAATCTATTAAATAAATCTATATCTATTGAAAACCTTCGTTTTATTCTAATAAATATTAACAAAAAGAATTCTTATAGATAAAATGATATATATTTTCATAAAATGAATACCGTAGAAGAAAAATATATTCGAGTTGAGGGTGTCGAATGAAATAAAAACCATGAAATTGTTCGATATTTTCAAATTAATCGACGCGACTAGTTTTCATTCGACTTTTTCATCTCTCTAGGAATATCGATACGAATTATTTCTTTCCATTTTCTATCGAGAACAAAACATATAAAAGAACAGGAGATTTTTAAATATATATTTCTTATATAGGAATTAACTAGAATATAATTGGATCTGAAACAAAAATCAATTATCTATATTTATCGTAATAGATTTATTAATTCCAGTCATAGCTAACGATAGAAAAAAAATTTTTCTTAATTCCTAATGGAATTTATTAAACAAAGATTTAATTTCTACAAGGAGAGATTTAGGTTAAGAAAAATATTCTCCATCATTAATAAATCCATAATTACCATTTGAATATGTTTATCAACGAAATTTTATTATTAGATAAACTAGGGAAAACGAAACAAATTCTTAGTTTAACGTTTAATTTAATCCAAATAAACAAGATTATATTTATTCACTTATTATAACTATTTATATTTAGATTATTTTCACATATGTTAGAATTATATTTCGAATGAAAAATAGAACATCCTCTATTACTCGTACAATTCGTCTATTCAATATTTGTTTCGGCAGCATCGCACAACAGAAAAAAAATCTGATAAAGAGTTTATTTTCTAATAAAATTCTTTATTTAAGATAAATATTGTTATAAATTCTAATTCATCGTCGAACTATTCACTGATTGAGAAGTTATCTATTCAATCCGAATATGAATTTATTTATTTATATATTAATATTGCTAAAACGATCAAACCCAATATAAATTATCTTAGGAATTTTTTCATTTATCATTCAATAAATCATCATTATTTACTTTTTATTTTGGCAAATCTTATTTATTCAAAAAAAAAAACGGTGTTATAAATAATAGAAATGTTTAATTGAACGGGATTATAAAGAAATTTATTTTTATCAGTTTTATTTCGAGTTGAAAATGATCAAGAATATTTGAAATAAACAATTCGAATAACGAAAAATAGAAGAGGAAGGAAATTATCCGAGAAAAATATCATTGAATTTGAATTTTCAATCGTCTTATTCGATTAGAATTTAAACTTAATTATTAAATGGTTATTACATCTTACTTTAGATTATTTCAAGATTTATTATAGAAACACGAAAAACATATTTTTTCTCAACTATTATAAATATGTGATATATACGATTTATAGTCAACGTTTAATTAGAATAAAATCACATTTATCATAGTTAAACCTTTATCAACTTATTTTTATAGTTTGACTTATATATATTTATATTGTTCGATTGAGCATAAAATCAACAATAGAATTTAAATGAACAATTAAGAATTATATTCTAGTAGAAGAACAAAAATTATTAAAATAAAACAAAAGGTCAATGTATGGTATTACCCTTAATAAAAACTTTTTTTTTCTAGTTTCTCAATTTGATCTCTTTTTCTAGTGAAATTAAAGGAAATAAATCTAATGTATCTTAATAGATAAAATCAAGTATAAACTATCTATTTTACATAAAAAAAGATGAAGTGTTTCAGAGTAGATTTTTTAAATGAAAAGAATTGTTTTTGTGAAAGTCTTTTAAATGAAGAATAAAGAAAAATAAAATGATTAAATGATAACATAAATTATATAGAATTGTTCAACTGGAGAGATAATCTGTAGAGAGACAAAATTTATAGATATATTCTATCTTTACTTTTTTATTCTTTCCTTTCGCAATTCATTTAATAAACGGCAATCAATTTTCAAATTTATATTCAATTCTTTTCATAGAAATTTCCATGAAAAATTCCTTTTATTTAAATATTAACTCTCAACGAATACGAATTTCTCTGATCTAGAAGGTACAAGGAAATTTCATTTTACATTTTAGACTATCAATATTCACGTTTCCTTTCTCGAATTGAAATATTAGAACGATTTTTTGTTTTTTCACAACTATTCTCTACTGATCATTTCTATATATATAGAACTTTATTTTCCTTTTCTTTTTTTCAAACGTTAGAGTTGATACTTCAATTTCTATATCGATTATGACAAGAATACTTTCGTGCTTCTAAAATATTATTAAAAACTCGTCGGATAATGACAATTATAAGAGTAGGAGAGATTTGCTAAAATCAAACAATTTTATTTATTGACTATCAGATTGGTCAAACAAAATGAATCCATATATATAGATTATTTCTATTGTCACTGGTCAAGAGTCAACAGTTACCTTTAGAGATTGAACACGTATGGCCCTAATGATGATGTGAAATTTTTTTTTTTCAAAACCGACAGAAGTATCTCAACTGTTGATAAATATTTAGGAAGAAAACAGTTTCGAATAGAAATAAGTTGAAATTTTTTCTTTGAATTGATCTAGAAAAAGAAATCATGAGAAACAAATGAAAATTTTCTATAAATAGTCAAAAACATTCTTAAGTTTATCTACATTTTTTATATTTATTTTTCCACCGTCCGACTATTAAATATATATTCGTTTATTAAGAATATTTTTATTGAATAGACTTCTAAAACAGCTTTCAACGATCGTTCGTTCATATATTGAACACTAAACACGAGAAAATCGAGACTATTCGTTATTCTATAGAGAATTATCATATTATGTTATATTAAGAAAAATTCAAGGTTAACTATATATTAACATAACCACCTTATATAAGAACGAAGAGATTTTCTAAAAACAATTTTTCAACCTAATCTCGTTGCAAAATCTATTTATATATTTTAAAACACGGAGACATATTAGCTACTAAACAAAAAATTCAACTATAAATATTCCCTTAGTTATCTCATTTATTTGAGATGATCATCATCAGAAATTCTACTAGAATTCTAACTATTGATTAAATAAGAATAAATTTAAATTTTTTTGTTTTTAAATAGAATTTGTTTAAAAATCTATATGTAATAACAATAATAAAATTGATATTGTTTATATGATCAATCTCTTCATCTATAGTTTAATAAGATAATCAATAAACTATTGTTTATCTATATCGACAAACGATTAGTTGAAATATAATAGATCCTATTAAATATATCTATTACTATTTTTAGTTTATTCATATTTCAAAGGCAACAACGATTATTTAAATAAATTATTTTCCCTCTCAATTAACAGATCAAGTTAAATAAGAATTATTTTCTAGGATAATAAATAAATATATAATCGAATTTGAATTTTCATTTAATTTACATTAAATAATTATTTTATTCTTATCATTAAATAAATATAATAATTGAAAACAAATATTTATATTTAAACTCTATTAACGATAATTATCGAATATATTATTAATCATAAAAAAAATCGTCAATATAAATAATAATAATAACTGAATTCTGATTGACCAATATTTATCATCGTTATCTCAATAGGTACACTATATTCAATCGTTATATCGACGAGTACCAACTGATTTAACGAAATTCATTAAATTAAATAACTATAACATTTTACATTTATTAGACTTTTTCGGCAATTCTCCAAAGGTAGTAAACAATTATCCAAATTATTATATAAACCTTCATTTTTCTTCTTATCTGTAGATATTGAACAAACTATTTTTTATTTTAGTCTAAGGCGAAATCTGCTTTTTTTTTATTGATAAACTATTGAGAAATACATACGAGTACAATTTATTTTGTAAACATAATTATTGAAAAAAAAACCAGTTACTGTAAATCATAAAGAATAATGATTAATTAAAAATGAATAAACTAGAATCGAGTTTAACGCACATTTCTAACTCAAAGTAAAGAGCTCTTGTTTCAAAAACGTTATTAAACACACTAGAGGAAACGTTAATTAACTTAACAGTTGAATTAAGTTAAGTTATTGTTTGATTCGTCCTAAAGTTAGTTGACTTATTCTAGTCAATTAAAGCCGAATATGTAGAAATATGATTAAAAACTGATTTATTCATATGGCACAAATCTATATGAATATATTCTCATTAACAGATGTTTTTATATGATGATAGGACTTTTTTAAAATGAGTTAGAAGAACATACGAATAGATCTTTAATATTATAAATAACTGAGTAAACGAAACGATAGTTTACTCATCAATAAATACCGACATGATTAACAACCAATAGAACATTATTTTGTTTTATTCGACTCTTTTATGTATCAGTAAATACGAAAAGAAGAATTAAATAAAATATCTAGAATTCAATTAGAAATATCCAAAGAGATAAATCTCATGTAAAATATCTCGTTATTTTTTTTCAAATAAGAATATTCATCAATATAACATAATCAATATTTCAACAATATACCTTAGAAAAAAACAAACTAAATTGAATAAAAAAATCTCTAATTGAATTCTTCTTCAACAATAGAAATTAATTTGGGAAAAATCTTCGATTTCTACTATGAACATTCCTCTCTTATATATTTACCAGCTCGATTAGTATTAACACATTGAATTTATTGGTTTGGAACGAAAGGAAATATTCGAAGTTATTCAGGCTCGCATATATTTTATCTAGAAAACATTCACTAAATAGATTCGATATAGAAGAAAACGTTTCTGCAACTCATTGACATTTGAGATTTATTAGACGATTGACCTTTTACACCCACCTATAGACAAATTATCTCAACAACAACAAAAAGTCTTTCTAATCGAACCTACGGATTCTGTGCGTAGTTATTTGCTCCGAAAGGAAATCTTTGCTTATTATTTAAAAATAAAATATTCTATTGAATATTGTTTTGTTAAATAAAAATCTGATATACTCTTATGAGATAAATCAAATTCTCTAATCTCTATTTGTCAATTGTTAATCGTTTTGAAATCTATCGAATAAATAACGTTCAAGGAAAATGTTTGCACTGAAAAACCTAACCAAATGTTATTTATATAAAAGATTGTTTATTAATAAAAACATCTCTTCTATTCAATTGATTCAGAGACGACTTTATCAGTTGATTAAAAAACAAAGACCATTCCTTTTTCTGCAGTCAACATTTTTCCTTTTATTAAAGATATATAAATGATGATTCATAGATATATTATCGTAGAACGTTGAGTTAGAACGAACGATTCTTAAGATAATAGGTGAAAATTGTTATATATTTGTTAAATAATAATAGGAATCTATAATTAATATCTATAACAATAGATTGTTATTATAGATGAGCTGATAGGTCCTTTTCTTTTCTCGGATAGGAATTTTTCTTCAAAGACACAAATAACAAAATAAACGAATAGATACTTTATCTCTAGAAGGAACTCAATGAGAGAGAAAAAAAAATTCTCTCGTTTCGTTTAATGCGTTTCGATCAGAGTTTATGATAGGTTTCTCTTCGTATTGAGATTATTTTGTTAATATGTCACTGATGATAATATAGACATTTGCTAAAATATCTCTTTCAACCTTTTCCTTATTATCTATTATGTTAAAATGTTAACAAGAGATGCTTTTTATATATTCGTTTGAGAATATTTCATACATATATCGAACATTTATTCAATGACGATACTTTTAATCAATCATCGTTTTTTCATTAGAATATATTTATCTGATTATATTTAATTCAAAACGGAGAATTACACATGTTAATCGTTGAACGGTCAATTCAATATTCATTTCAACACTTTCACTTTCAATATGAAATCATTCGAAACGAAGAGGACGATTAAAAATTCCGATCTATCTATCATCAGAATAGTGTGACGATGGCCAAGGGGTTTCATCCATTCACAGTTATTGAAAACAAGCTAGAGATCTGACCAGATCAATGCATCTTTAGTTTGTTTGCCTCATCTTGGATACCACTAGTATTGCAACGTGACGGAAGCAAACTGGTCAGGATATATAGAAATTTTTCATTTACTTTTCAAGACTTATTAGACGCCAAATCAATTAGAAACAATATCTCAACAATCGAAACTCTAACAAAATAAAGAGTATATACCGAAACAAAAATGATTTTATGATAGATAGATAGACGATCGAATAAATATTTCCGGATATATGATGTGTAAAGTAGATGTTCACTAAATAGGCATTACTTTAACAAAACCTATCTCAAGACAATGATTATTCTATTCACTTTTTATATTAATTCAATTGAATAATCAAATCTAAAAGCGTTTCTAATTTTTTTTAAAAATTCTCTCATGTCTTTTTCAATTTAGACGAAAATAATAATGAAAAAATATATGAGAATATGTTGTTTACTATATTGATTCGTTTCGAGTTAGCGTTGCTTCATTGATATTTTATTTTACTTTTTTATGAAAATCTTTGCTATTATATGATTATGTTCGGATTGTCTCGTGTTATTCGATGTGATTGTTATACTCTGATATAAATAAGAATTTTCATCGAAGATAAATCCCGAATAGTAAATTGTTTTATTCTCTTCATAGATAATAACCGTTGACTATGAATAGATATATGTTTTCGTTCGGATATTGAATTAAATATGATTTTTATAATTATAATAGAATTAAAAAACGTCTATAATCACATTGAATTTCTATTTGTAACTAATCACTCTAGATATATATATTTTCATTCACCTAATTGATCTTCAATAAACTGAAATAAATATTTTATTAACGATTGTCGATTGACAACATTTTCAAACTTTGTTTAGTGAATCTTTTTGAGAGATAATAATTTATATTCTCGAAAATGATTCATAGACGATTGAACTTTGTTTATTAAGAGTAGCCGTGATAGAAAAAAAACATTCATTCTCGATCTATAAAATCTTCGAACAATGACAATTTATCCAAGGGGGTAAGTGCAGGATCCCAGCACCTAATTTTACTGCTAGGTGCTGAACAGGTACCGTAGGTGCTGAACAGGTGCCGTAGGTGCTGTAGGTACTGAACAGGTGCCATAGGTGCTGTAGGTACTG